AGCATGGGGAACATAGTCAATAATATTGTGATAGCGTGGTACAGTGTCAGATGGTTGCTGGACTTATCATGGTGATCACTTCTTTAGGTATACAAATGTTGAATAACTATGGTGTACACTTGAAACTAATATAATATTGTATGTTAGTAATATTTTAATAAAAAATCTTTTTTTTTTAAGTGTGGCCCCTGTTTTCCCCAACCCAGGGTGCATCCCAGGGAAGCAATTTATTTTAAATGCTTGTTCCTCCTTCATAGGGTTGCCGGATAAATAGAGGATGCCCAGTTACATTGGAACTTCAGAAAAACAATGAATAATTTTTTAGTGTAAATATGTCCCATACAATATTTTTAGTATAAATATGTCCCACTTATTGCATGGAACATATAGTTACTCAAAAAATTATTTGTTGTTTATCTGAAATTCAGATGTAACTGGGCACCTTACACTTTCCCTCATCCCCACCTCAAATGTTCGATGAAGCTTTAGGCTCAGACCCATCTAGGCCCACCTCATCCTGACCAAGAAGAAGAAATAGAAGATCCCTGATTTCTTTGTGACATCCTCAGAGATAACTGTCCCCTGGGGAGAGTGGGTTTTGTGTATTTGTAAAAGGCAGACAAAATTTTCTCTTTGAAGTTTCTAACTGAAACCAGAACTAATTTGACCTGACACTATAATCTACCCTGATTATCAAATGTGTCTAGCCCAGAAGCATTTCAGTGAGACAGAACAGTTACCTTTGCTCACCAGCTCTCTGTAACTGTTGTGGACAAACAAAACAAAACATCCACCAGAATTAAGGAATAAGAGAGTTCTCATCTGCTAAGGACTTACGTTAAATGGCCACTAAGTTCTCCATCCTCATAACATCTGAGGACCCCATTTCTTCCAGATCCCATGGAAGTGGCAAGGGGGCATTGATCCTTATTAGGCCAGACAGGAAAAACCTTTCCGAAAAGGAGGGAAAATGTAAACTGAGATCTTAATGAGAAGGAGTCAACCATCAGAAAATAGAGGAAGAGCATTTCAGACAGAGAGAAGAACCAGTGCAGAGGCCCTAGAACATGACTTAGTCTGGGCTCCCAGAACTAAGGCTGATTCAGGACATTTTGTTCAAAAATCAGGGAGGATACAAACCTTTGGTGTCCACAGATTTGGGGAGAGCACCTTCAACCTGAACCTTGAGGTTATGCCTGGTAACTCCCAGAAAGGCCTCATGGTGGGTGCCGGTTTAAAAGAAGGATGAAGTTCTGAGCCAAGAAGCCAAAGGTTTGCACTAAGCTGGACTCTACAACTAAACTGGGCCCCTGGATGATTGGCAGCAAGACCGGAGAGGAGGGAGGTATTGACCTGAATCTGAGGGAAAGGGGAAGCTCCCAGAGGTGGCGAAAGTCTTCTGGCGATGGGTGCTAATTCAGGGGCCTTGAGGGTACCCGGGCATTGTTCCAGGATGGAGACCGCAAAGCAGCTAGCATCATCCCCTCCCCCAGAGGGGGCTATAGGACTACACCCAGCATGCTGGGCACACTATGCCCTGTCTGGAGAAATACTCTCTAGCTCCTCTGCTTTTTGGAGCTCAACAAGGGAGCACTGATCTTACAAGGGCACCTCTTTGGTCTTGGGTAATTTGCAGCTTCTGAGGTGCCCAGTCCTGTCAGGGTAAAGTGCCCAGGATGGGCTGGGGTGGTTTCTTCAAATAAGGGTTCCCAGGGAACCTCAGCCCGAAAATCCAACCACATCCTGTTTCCTGGAAGTGCCCCCTGGAAGTTCCCTTTGACTACACTCCTAGTCACCGTTCTCAGACTGGCCCAGGCCTCAGGCTTTCACCCAGAGCCAGCCCGGGCACAGCCTGCCCTCACTCTCACGCTTTTGAGTGACTTCTGACAGTGGAACTCCCACCCCAACCCCCAGGCTTACAGCAAGGGCTCTAGAGTCCAAACTGCCTGCACTTCACTTCTTCAATCTGTGTGACTTTGGGCAAGTCATAAACCTGTTGGAGCCTCATTGCCTGCATCTAAAAAGTAGGGCTAATAAATGTATCTTCTTTCCTAGGTTACTTGTGAGAGTTAAAAGAGAATGCTTACCACGTGCTTGACACAGTATCTGGCACAAAATAAGTTTAGCAACATAGTGTAAGCTGTTACTGGGAAGCTGCCTGACCCATTACCTTTTGGCCCAGCTCAAACCTGCCTTAAATTTGGATGTGGCGCTGCCACTTCTGTCCCAGCCCCAGGGTTAGAGCTTGAACCAAGCTACTCCTTACTGGCTACTGACTAGTTCTCTGCTGCCACCTGATGGACCTGACCTTGCATCACATCCCCACATGATGAAGCAGTGGGGTAGTGATTGCAGAGATGCCTCTTGATCTTTTCAAAACCCTCCCACTCACAGAGCTCAGGGGCCAGGTTCCTCTTTGCTCATNTATTTATTTATTTATTTATTTATTTATAATATAAAAATTGAAACTATAACACAAATAGACAAACAAAAAGCTCATGAACTGCAGTGGTCATATGAAAGTGTGCTTATTAAAAGCCAACACCAGTTTCTCTTCTCTCCTTGCTATTATGTATTTTTCTTCCCTCTTATTGTTCTCATGAATTTCAAAGGTCTGATCCCCATAGAGTTTTATAAATCAGCTTGTTTAGAACAGAAGGAGACACGGGGGAGAGCAGAGTGGGGAATTGGCCACATGAACCCTTTCCATTGGGGCATTTCACGTCTAATTTGCCCTTCTCAGTGGTAAAAAAGAAATTAACAGTTAAACTCACTGGTCTGCTCAGGTGAATAATTAGGGGTGAACCCTGTGTTCAAAATTACAGACATAAAGCTCAATTAGTTCTGTGTGAAATTGTTTTTGTAAACCTATACCTTCAGCTCAGAGCCTCGGCAAATGTCCCTCACCCCACCCGAACCAAGAGGAGTGGTCCTTCGGGTCCTCCAAGTGACAGGAGAATGATGCTGCCACAAGCGGCTACAGCCTGAGTTGTCGCTTTTCCTGATTCTCTGCTCTGCCGCTTGGCAGTCTCTCTAGGGAGAAGATCTAGGAGGAGACTGCAAAGCTTCAGAAGTCAGAGAATTACATACGTTGAGAAATTCTGCTGGCAGCCAAGCATCAGGGAGGCAATGAGGGAGGGTGGAGGAGTCCACCAGAACTTCCCAAGCCCTGTTCTGACAGGACAGGACCGCAACCAAGTGAGAGGAGGCCATGCTCTTACCTTCCTGGATGCAGTCGATCTCTGTGTGCGGCTGGCTCTGTGTGTGAAGGTTGCTTCCCTGGCTCTTAATCTTTATTTCCCCCCCCCCCCCCCCCCCCGGTCTTGAGTCTCATGTTAGTCACGAGTTGGGATTTCTGGTGGGGTCATCTGTGACTGCTTAATTGGTATGAAAGAAACCAACCGCATTTCTCCCCTCTAAAAGTGTGGCCTCTGTTCAGAAAAAAAAAAAAAGATAAGATAAAAATATGAATAATAAAATGGCAATAATTACATGCATATCTATCAACAATTACTCTCATATAAATGGATTAAAGTCTCCAATCAAAAAATAGGAGGGCTGGGCCGGCCGAGTGGCTGGTTAAGAGCTCCCTTGGGAGCACCAGCTCTGAGCAGCAGGGCTGCGGTTCGGATCCCACATTGAGGGCCAGTGACGCTCGCCCTCTATAGCTAAAATGATGAACAACAGGTCGACCTGGAGCTGGGCTGTTGTGAGTCGCTGGCGGCGGTGTAGGCTGCAGCAGGGCTGCAGTGGGCTGCCATGAGATACGTGAGTGGCTGGCAGCCAGTGTGAGTGATTGGTAGCCGGTGTGAGCTACTGGGAGCCACTGTGAGCGGCCGACCAATGACTGGTGACCCATCTGCCTCACCCGGGAAGAGCACAATGATCATACCAACATGGGCCAGTGAAGCGACGTCCTCCACAACTAGACTGAAGAACAAAACAGCAATTTGTCCACCTGCCTGTTCCCCTTCCCCGATTCCCCAATGCTGTTCCCCTCCCCCCAACCCCCCAATAAAATCTTAAAAAAAAAATAGGAGGGCTGAATGGATAAGAAAATGAGACCCTTACATATGCTGCCTACAAGCGACTCGCTTCAGATTGAAAGACACACACAGACTGAAAGTAAAGGGATGGAAAAAGATATTTCATGAAAATGGAAACAAACAAAAAGCTGGGGTAACAATACTTATACCAGACAAAATAGACTTTAAAACAAAGGCTATCACAAGAGACAAAGAAAGACCCAGTAATCCCACTTCTGGGTATTTATTCAAAGAAACCCAAAACGCTACTTCTAGGGGACGTGTGCATCCATATGTTCATTGCAGCATTGTTTACAATGGCCAAGATCTGGAGGCAGCCTGGGTGTGTCCATAAATGGATGAATGGATAAAGAGGAGGAGGTACATATATACAATAGAATATTGGTCGGCCATGGAAGGGAACGGGCTCTTGCCATCTGTAGTGGCATGGATGGACCTGGAGGGTATTGTGCTAAGTGGAGTATATCAGACAGAGAAAGAAAGATGAAATGTAATTTTGCTTATATGTGTGGAATCTAACAAAGAAAATAAACAAACAAAACGGAAATAAACTCATAGATATAGTAAACATTTGAATGGTTGCCAGATGGGAGGGGGTTGGAGGTGAGTGAAAAAGAGGAAGCGATTAAGAAGTACAAATTGTGGGATGGCTGAGTGGCACGTTGGTTATGAATTGGCTTGGGATGCCAGCTCTGAGCAGCAGGGCCCTGGTTCGGATCCCTCATGAGGGCTAGTGATGCTGCGTCCTCTATAGTTAAGATGGTGAACAACAGCTCAACCTGGAGCTGGGCAGCTGTGAGTCACCGATGATGGCATAGGCTGCAGTGAAGTTGCAGTGGGCTGCCATAAGCTACCGTGAGCGGCCGGCAGCCATCGTGAGCAGCCATCCAGTGGCCAGTGACCGATCTGTCTC